AAGTTATTGGATTCATTATAAAAAAAAAAACTGTAGTCTGAAGTTATTATTCAGATTAAACTAGTTTAATACCTCTGAAATCTAATAAAAACTACATTATTTACATTATTTGGACTATTGTCCTCATCTTTGTTGCCATATTTATCACAACGTTTCAGCCGTTATACGTTCCAGCCTTCTTCAGGTGGTTGGAATTTCCAACTGAACCCTTTATTTCACTCACTGGGGTAGACTGTTCTAGTTCCATGTGCCATGTTTGATGGATGTCAGTAATAAGTTATCTCCTGTTAATTCCCCTCGCCATGTTCTCCACTGCCTTAACCGGGTATTGAACTCACACTCTTTGGGTCCTGTCACTGGATCTAACCAACGCCTTTATTCACTGTGCCATGTGTCCTTGAGGACATCTGGGTATGAATTTCTTGGTATTATACATCTAATGTCTTCAGCAACCATTTTTACCAGTGCTCATATTGCAATTTTGCTGTTATCATTCCATGTTTTTACCAGAGCTCATATTGCAACTTTGTTGTTATCATTGCTTTTCTCTGGCACTCCTTATTACTGGTTCCCATATTGTATTTATTTCTATGCTTGGTCAGCTCAGGAGATTTCTGTGGCCTAGCATATGTGCTGATTTCTTTAAGTTTACGAAATAAAGGGTTCAGTTCAAAATTCCAACCACCTGAAGAAGGCCAGAGCGTACAACGGCCGAAACGTTGTGATAAATATGGTGACAAAGATGAGGACAATAGTCTGAATAATGTAAATAATGTACATAATACCTCATCTCAGAAATATAGACAGACTAATAAAACCTATTTTAAAATTTTTCCATCAATTGAATCATAGGTAATGGAAATGCTGAAATCAGAAAATAACAAAATTATAGGGTGAGGGAATGTCGGCATTAGAGATATCAAAGGAGCTTTGCAGACATTGTTGAATGATAAAGAGGTCTGTTAAAAATATAAGTTGAGAACTAGAAGCAAATGAAAGGGCTTTAAGGAATTGCCTCCTGAAAGGGAATGTAAACTAAAGTGTGTTATAATAAAACAACCCATTTTGACCAGGATAGAAATGAGTCAAAAACAAAAGGTGTAGAATACTTTGCAAAATGGGATCTGTTATAAAAATCTCCTAGGCAAATAAGTAAAGCAAATATTTGAAAGGATCATCACTAGGCCAAGAAATTTATAAAAATTGACTTTTCTAAAGTCAAAGATTTTTTTTGTGGGGTGACACTCAATAAACCTGATGGATGGACCAAAGGAGAGATCTTATCCATTGTAGATGTGCCTGGGGCTAAAAGGAGGCAGCAGTGTGATGATGGGTTGGATTTCTTCACTAAACCATTATTGCACCATTTAAAGTCGATAACAGTGTTAGACTATCTATTGCAATTTCATGGACAAAACTTCAAAACTTTCTTTGAATAGTAAAAGTCTCAGCCTTGCAGTTTCAAAGTAAATTGTGTATTTATGCACAACAATGCTACTTCTCATGTCTCTAAGGGTATCCATGAATTTTTTGAGAATAAAAGGTTTATAAGAGAGAATATAATGGAATGACCATCATCATGTTCTGATCTGAATCCATTCAAAAATCTATGGTCAACTGTGAAGATGGAATTTTATGAAAGTGGCAAACAATATAACAGCAAATCAGGCCTATGGGAAGCAATTAAAAATACAATGTTGGAAATTGAACCTTGTGAAGTAAAATATTTATCAAAATCAATGGTTAATAGATTGCTGGCTGTTATTGAGAAAGGCCCTTATATTAATATGTAAATGCTTTAAAGACTTATGATATATGTTTACTATTTGTTCCGTTATAAGTGTTTATCAGTTGTTGATGATTGTATTACTTTGTTATTGAAGTAAAAAGTTATTTTCTGGTTTTGCATAATAACTTCAGACTGCAGTTTTTTTTACAATAAATCCAATAACTTTAATGAAACTGTCTACAAACTTAAATCAATTACAAATTGAAATCAAGGAAGACAGAAGATGGCTGACTGGCATTGCATTTAGTTTTGAAGATGTTAAGAACAGAGAAACAAGAAATTGGATGAACCCACTTTATCGTTCAACAATCTCTACAAAGTTCCTTTGATGTTTCCTATATATAAATTCCCTCACTCAAAAGCTTTGTTATTTTCTACTTTTCAGCATTTGCTAGATACTTTCCATTATCCATGTTTCAACAGATATTATAGAAAAAAAAATAGTTTTATTTGATTTGACATGCTTTAAACTAATATTAGTTTAAATTTTATAATAAATCTAATAAATTTAAAACATTCAAAGACTTATCATATATATTTGTTATTTGTTCTATTATAGGTGTTGATCAATTGTTGATGATTGTATTACTTTGCTATTGAAGTAAAAAGTTATTTTCTGGTTTTGCATAATAACTTCAGACTGCAGTTTTTATAATAAATCCAATAACTCTAATAAAACATGTTGGATATCCCTAAAAATTTAAGACAAACTTCATTTTGATGTCTAAATTAAATGTTTTAACTTTGGTAAAAATTTTTCAATATAACTTCAAATTATTGAGGCTTATGTGATTTGCATAATAACTTCAGATGTACTATATATACATGTTTGTTATTAAGAGGAAAAACCAAATTATTTTTTTAAATTTTTTATTCCTTTCTAGCACATTCAAAATTTAGTTAAAAATCTTGTTTGTTTAGAGTCAGCAAAATTTATGTAAAATCGATCATATCAGCCATTTTTGACAACTTTGTAAAAAAAGGTGAAATACTCCATTTAAAAATCTTGTAAAATTCAATTATACTTTTTTCAAAAGTTATTTTAGGAAATAAATTTAAAGTATACTTAATGTAATTTGAGACAAACATTTATTGGACAGAAAGGCAGAAGTGACAGTATTTTTGAATTTTAAGTGAACCAGCTTATTTAACTATAAAGTAATTGTTTTTATTAAGTTTGGGGCCTTTTTTTCATCATGCTATACTGTTTTTTTGGTGAATTATTGAACATACCTATATATATATATATATATATATATATATATATATATATATATATATATATATCTGTATATACAGGGTTATTCAAAAGGAATGAACTGATTTTATGATGCATTGCTTTAGTTCCCAAGCCTCATCATGGAATGAGTCAGTGACCATTGAAAGAGAAGTTTTCTAATTTTTGAATGGCTGCCACATGGGTACAGTAGTCCCATCATACCTCTGGCAACATTCAGTTGTTTGCTTACCCCTGAAATGGCGAGTTCTCAGCAAAAGGCATTCTGCATTCTTGCATTCACAAAAGCAAATATGGTTGTCATGTTGCAGTGTGCTTTTCAAAGGCAATTCGACATAAATCCACCATCTCCTACGAACATTCAATGGTCATTTAAATAGTTTCAAGAGAGTGGGTGTCTGTGTAATGGAAAATGTACAGGATGACCATGAGTTTCAGTGGAACAGATGGCAAGAATTTGTGCTGCATTTGAGGGTTGTCCATGGAAGTCTACAAATTGAGCTAGCCGTGAGCTTAAAATCTTTCAATTCACCATCTGGTGTGAGCTCAGAAGACTTCTACATTTGAAACCTTACAGACTACATCTTGTTCAGCCATTTAACAAGGCCTTGCTCTCTGTGTTTGGCCTGCAAGATCTCCAGACCTCACCATTTGTGATTTTTTCATGTGAGAATATGTAAAAGTTCACTTTTATATTTCATCACTACTCACTAAACTCGATGACCTTAAACATCAAATAATGACAGTGATCAACTCAGTGGACTGTGATATGCTGATGTGTGTCTTGCACGAATTCTCTTATCATATTGATGCTGTCTGTACTGCAGGTGGTGGCCATATTGAACACTTGTAAGACAAAAAATAAAAATTGACTGTGAGTAGAATACTTGTGACTTGGCTGGAGTTTTCTATTACTTTTCCTTATTAAAATATTGTGTAATGAAATTGGTTCATTCTTTTTGAATAAGCCTGTATATAACTCTGTCTCTCTTGATATATATATATATATATATTATATATATATATATATATATATATATATATATATATATATATATATATATATATATATATATATATATATATATATATATATATATATATATATATATATATATATATATATATATATATATATATATATATATATATATATATATATATATAAATATATATATATATAAATATTACTTGAGGACAGAAAATTATACCAGATGTCCTTAAGGACACATGGCACAGTGGATAAAGGCGTTGGTTAGACCCAGTGACAGACCCAAAGAAGGTGAGTTCAATACCTTGTTAAGGCAGTGGAGAACTTTCAGAGGGAAAATTAGCAGGAGATAACTGATAACTGACATCCATGGCATGTGGAACTAGAACAATCTACCCCACTGATCGAAATAAAGGGTTCAGTTCGAAATTCCAACCACCTGAGGAAGGCCGGAGCGTACAACGGCTGAAACGTTGTGACAAATATGGCGACAAAGATGAGGACAATAGTCCGACAAATGTAAATACTGGTATTTATGTAAGATTATATTGGACGTTTTTGGTGGCAGGTGTAAACAGATATAAATTCTAATAATGAAAAATATTTATGATAGAAAGAACTTATCTTTGATAATTTTGGTTGCATGGCATCTGAAATAGAAGGTGTCTACACATATGAACTTGGTTTAAAAGTACATCATCTTGAAGATTTCTCTTAATGCAAGCAAGTACTTGTCTGCACAAACCCTGTGCTCACTATTTTTAAATAGACATATGGATCTGTTTGCGTCATTCAATGATTCTCTTATCTTGAGAAGTTGTAAAATATCACATACAGACCCAGATTATTCATGGTATCTTCTTGGTGAGTAGTTCCATTGTAATGGAAATGGACGGGAATGTTTTCCTAAAATCAAATGAGATGTATGACAGGCAGTGGTGTGACAAAGAAGCAGATTTTAGATTTCATTTCTTTTTGTGGGCTTATGTAACAGGCTTTGCGATTCCTCCATAGAAATAGAAATGGATCAAAGAATAAATGTTGATGATGTAGAACTGGTTTAGGCAGACACTTGGCTAGATAGGTGTATAGAAAAATATTGATTTGAACAAATAGCAACAGGCTGAGAAAGATATGTATGTATGTATGTATGTATGTATGTATAGATATATATACATATATAAATTCAGATTTTAAAAGCAGCTCTGAATAGAGTCTGTTCCAAAACACCCTATATATGTATATATAGAGAGAAAGAAATACAAACTGTGATAGATACTGTGATAGATATATAGCTAGATACAGACTGTGATAGATAGATAGATAGATAGATAGATAGATAGATAGATAGATAGATAGATAGATAGATATGAACAGACTTAGATAGATAGATAGATACTGTGACAGACAGATAGATAGAAAGATAAATAGATAGACACTGTGATAAATATAGATATGAACAGACTTAGATAGATAGATAGATAGATAGATAGATAGATAGATAAAGATAGATAGATAGATACTGTGACAGACAGATAGATAGAAAGATAAATAGATAGACACTGTGATAAATATAGATATGAACAGACTAAGATAGATAGATAGATAGATAGATAGATAGATAGATAGATAGATAGATAGATAGATAGATAGAGACTGTGACAGACAGACAGATAGATAGATAGATAGATAGATAGATAGATAGAGACTGTGACAGATAAAGAGATAGATAGACACTGATAAATAGATAGATATGAACAGACTAAGATAGATAGATAGATAGATAGATAGATACTTCGACAGACAGATAGATAGATAGATAGATAGATAGATAGATAGATAGATAGATAGATAGATTCAACAGACAGATAGATAGATAGATAGATAGATAGATAGATAGATAGATAGATAGATACTGAGATAAATAGATATGAACAGACTAAGATAGATAGATAGATAGGTATGAAGAAGAACATAGATAGATAGATAGATAGATAGATAGATAGATAGATAGATAGATAGATAGATAAAAATGAAAGAAAGTTTTGGGCAGGAAAAAATGAAGTGTGGGAAGAAAAGTAGACTTGTGAGTAGAAGAATGAGCAGGTTAATAGAAGTTGGTTAGCAAGACAAAATAAAGGTGAGGAAAAGTCGTTGAACCATCGACTGGAATAGATGGGGAGATAGGCAGGCCAGAAAAGAAATCAAAAGATATGTACAACTTCTCACTGTTTACAAGCATGGGACATTCTAATCTAATGGCAATCTTCTTGGTCAAGAACATAGAAATTTCTTTCACTTGGATTTGTCTCAAAGATGGATCATATAAAACCTACAGAATTTGGCCAAGAATGATAAATCTTTGATTGAAAGATTTTGTTTTCCCTGTAGGAATATGTTTGGAACAACCAATCTTATTTCCTTGTAGTAACCTGGTGTCTCTGCTGCAGTCTTCAATTTTGTATTGTTTGTGCATGTTTTATCTATCAACCAGATTTATCTAAGATATTCAAGCAGAGGACTGGAAAATGTAACAAGTTGAAATGCAGTATTTGGAGACAAGGGGAAAAATTGCTTTGTCTCAGCATATATTGTTTGTTGGGGGATGATGGTGTTAGTTTTGTTGCTGACAGCTAAATATTAGAAAGGAAATAAAGATAGGGGAGAAGTGGAAGGAAAAAGAAGATGGAAGTAGGAGGAGGAGGTGAATAAAAAGGTTTGAGGTTGTAGATTGCAAGAGTGGAGTAAAAGTGAAAGTTGAAGTGGGAGGCGAAAATGAATATGTAAAAATGGTGAAGAAAGTGGGAGGGGAAAGAAGTAAAGGAGACAAAAGAGGCAAGGGTGAAGGATTGCAATAAGGGGAGTAAAAGCGAAAATGAAGGTGGTTGGAGAAGAGGTGGGGTGTAAAAATGGTGAAGAAAGTGGGAGGAGAAAGCAGAGAAGGAAATGAAAGAGGCAGAGGTGTCAGATTGCAAGAATGGAATTAAAGCAGAAGTGGAGGTGGGAGGAGAGGACGGATATGTAAAGATGGTAAAGAAAATTGGAAGAGAAAGAGATGGAATGAATTAAAAAGAGGTGAGGAGTCAAGGCAAGAAAGAAAAAGAAAGGTGAATAAGAATTAGAGGGCGAAAAAGCTGGACAGAAGATGTAAGATTTGGAAATAAGATGCAAAAGAAAGAAGAGAAAGAGAAAGAGTTGTCAGAATAAGAAGAAGGAAAAGAAAAAGGTTAGAGAAAAAGATGGAGTAGAAGAAAATGCAGAAAGAAGAGGAGAGCTGAAGAGGAGACAATAATTAAAAGAGAGTGGTTAAAGACAATGAAGAGAAGGAGGAGGAGATCAATAAAAGAACTAGGGGTAGGAGAAAAGGAAGAAGAGGAGGGGGAGGCTGTTGAAAGGGAGTGGGAAAAGAGAAAAGCAAAAATAAATGAAAAAATATCAAGGGAGAGTAGAATGAAGTTTGGGGGAAGATGAAAACACAAAGGAGAAATGGAAAAGTGGGAGGAGATGGTTATAGTGAATAAGAAAGAGGGGGTCTAGGTGATGAGAAGGAGAGGTTGAAATGTGGCAAATGGAAGAGAAAAAATAATAAAGAAGGAGAAGGAAAAAGGGAAAGCACAGAGAAGTCAATAAGGTACAGGTCAACGCGAAAGAGAAAAGATTAAATACAGTTAAAGAAAGAAAAAAAGAAAGAAAGAAAAGAAAAAAGAAGTAAAAAATAAAGGAAGGAAAAAAAAAAGAAGAAACAAAAAAAAAAAAAAAAAAAAAAGCAACAAAAATAAAAAAAAGGTAAAAGAAATTAAAAAAAAAAGAAAAAGAAAAAGAAAAGGAATGAAATATGAAAAGAAAGAAAGACAACAAGGAGAGACAAAGAAAATGAAAAGGAGAAAGAATAAACCAAAGGAATGAAAGAAAATGTAAAAAGAAAGGTAAACAGAATGAAAATGAAAGAAAGAAAAAAAAGAAGAAAAAAAAAGAACAGAAAGTAAGAAAGAAACAAAAAGCTTAAGAAGAAAGTTAAAAAGAGGAAAAAAGAAGTAAATGAGACAAAACAAAAAGAAAGAAAAAGCAAATGGAAAAGAAGAAACAGAAAAAAAGCAATAATGATAAAAAGAAGAAAGAAAAATAAAGGAAGAAAAAAATAAAGAAAGAAAAACGTAAGATAAAATTGAAGAAGCACACAAATAAAAAGAAAAATTGACAGAAAAAAAACCCCAAAGGAATAAAGATGAAACAGGAATATGTGTGTATCTCAGCATACGGCAGCAATGAAGTAAAAAGATGTTAAAATGTAAAGAAAAAAAAAAGTAGCATAAATAAAGAAAAGAAAAAGGTGGAAAAATGGTGGTGAAAAGAAGAATAAAGGAAAAGAAATGAATGAAAAGCAAAGATGTTCACAAGAAACAAAGAAGAAAAGAACGATGAAAACTGAAACAGAGGTGAAAACAAAAAAAATTACTCGCCTTTCATAATTACCTCCAGGTAACAGTTTACAACTACCACATACACCAAACTTTCAATAAAGAAATGTTACAAAATGAAAAAAAAAATTCTTTAGTGAATGCTCTCAGCATATGGCCTTGTGCCAATTCAGAGTGATCAAACAGATACAAAATAACATCTACAGAGCCTATTGGGGAACAGTATTATTGATTTTGTATTTGTTATTTTTGCTTTCAAATAATTTTAGATACATCTGAATTAGTCCGTGATTTTATCTTTTTCTTCCTGATTTATAATTTATGTTGCAAACTATAAAAATGGGTTTTATTCTTTGTTCTGAACAGCATAACCTAAATTGTATAAAGTCTACCCTAGAAACAATTGGAAACTATTTTCTTAGAGGGAAATTACACCTGATTCCCAGTGTCTATCATTGCAATTATAGTTTTAAGGTACGCTATATTTGTGGCATAAAATTACCCAATATCTGCGATTGAGCGTGTGTAAATATAAAATTGGATGCTGAATCAGGCCTGAAGATTGTGTTCTTGCATGAAACAAACTGTAAAGGTTTTGTATTTTTACAGCTCTATTTTGCTTTATTTACCCATGTTAGGTTTCTTGATTCTAAAGAACTATATCACTGTAGATATTTGTCTATATAGATGCCTATTCGTTTCTTATTTTGTCTTATGTTTTTTCTTGGTGGGGCAGGTTTGGTATTGGGAGGAGAAATTTGAGCAGCCTTTTTCTTCACCTATTACTTTATTTATTTTGGTATATATATATATATATATATATATATATATATATATATTATATATATATATATATATATAGATTTAAAACATATAAAACAGACTGTAACCACCAGGTGTTGACTTCTGTATCTTTTATATTTTATTAATGTAAATTTGGGCAGCAACCTTTCTTTTAAACATCTTTCATTAAATACTGCAGACAAGGAAGATTTAATTATTTTTTATTTAATTTCTCCAGTATTCTTATGTTTTTCCATTTTGTATGAGTAAAAGAGTACAGAAATTTGCCATAATTTTCTTTGTCTCAAATGCTTTTAGCTATTTCTTTAGTCATTTTAAAGGAAGTTTTGTTTTTGGTGTTGTTAGTTTTCCTCATGTTTTTGGCTGTTTAAGTTGTATTCATTTTTGTGTTGTTTTTGAAACCTATGAGCATTTCAACCCTTTTGTATTGACTTAGTTGTTTACCATGGGGTTTTTTCTTTGAAACCTGTATCTGTGCGATTTTTTTCAATGGACTTTCATGTTTGTAGAAACCTTTTTTCCCTCTCGAGATTGATTTGATTATTGGCAAATCAAAAATTTGAGGTTTTTCAAAATGAGTATAGTTATCTATATTTGTATATTTATATATATATATATATATATATATACTATATTGATATTGTCGTCCACATTACTGGTTTTTGGACCATGGCTGAATTTCAATAAAATGTGAGCATCTTTTATTTTTAAAAACCACTAAGCTAATTGGCACACGGCAGGGGATATGCATATTTACTTTTTTAGATATATATATTCATATAAGAGTATTATATATATATATATATACTGAAATAAATTTTTGGATATATAGATAAACAGCTCATCAAGATGTCCGGTTGCCTCTAGCTAGGATCGAAACCCAACTGAATTATGTTTCATTAAATGACAGATGACCAGGTACTACGGTTAAGCTTTTTATTTAATTTTTCTTGTGTTTCAACAAGAGCTTACATTGCACCTATCTGATCATGGCTCCATTAGAGCCCATTTAAACACACAACTTTCCTGATGATCCGTTTAAAAAAAAAGATTAAAAAATAATGGAAGCTAGGTAGGTTTGTCAACACTTAACAATATTAACTATGAACAAGTTTATCTAAATCTGCTCTAATGGTTAATGTATTGACAAACTGAATCATCTTTTGTTAAAGGTATAGCTGAAAACATTGTTTAAAACATTTGGACAGTTTTATCGTCCAGGAAAGTTTTTTAAATTTAAAAAGCTAACTGGGTCTTCAAACCTGTATCTGTGCAAATTTTTCGACAGATATATATATATCATGTTTATATATATATGTGTGTTGTTTTTTTTAAAATATAGAAAATAGGGAAAGAACTTTTTAATTATTCTTTAGATTATATATATTTTTTAAAGGCAAATCAAAAAATCGAGGGTTTTTCAAAAGAGTATAGTTATCTAATATTTTTATATATATATATATATATATATATATATATATATATATATATATATATATATATATATAACACTATTTCTGTTTTATATTGAGGCCCATATATAAAAATTGACAAAACATCCAAAAAAAGTATAGACTGTTTCACTGCTGAGCACAGCTCATCAGCACAGAAGATGACCCTCAGTTGATGCCATTCACTATATGGTTTTGGATAGATGTCTGGTTGTTCTGTAATAGGTAAATCCATCGAAATCTGGTTTGGTCCATTGAATTGTCATCAAAGTCAGAAGATTCCAAAGAATGCTGACCAGAAGCTAAGCCGTTGACTGGCCCCTGAGAATTTCCACCACAGATTAGTAACTCAAGATGAAACCTAGGTTCAACATGGATGAAGGTTCTCCACCCTTGAAGAATTTCATCTAGGTAGCATCTGTTGGCAAAATGTCTTTCCAGAACATTCGCCATAAATATTTTTGCCGTAAGACAATTTTGACACATTTTTTGATATTTAATAGTTAATTTATAGTGAATTTAAAATAGTTTAGATTGAAAAATTTGTACACAGTGACTGAGAGAAGAACTATTGGAAACGATTCAAAGGTTTAACGTTAAGTCTGAAATATGAATTGCATGATGTAGGTTCTGATGTCATTGAAATTAGCCGACTAAGAGAATGAATGACGTAGGATTTTGATCCTATAACTTCGCTTGAGCTGGCAAAGTGATGGCTTATTTTTTTTAATCTGAAGGTAATTACAAACTCTATCCATCACCACTTCTTCCCCAAAATAAAAGATGGCAGGTGTGCACTGAAATAAATTTTTGGAAGCATATATTTGATTGTCATCCACAGAGACTTAGCTGTTTTTCTGTTTCACAGCTCATCCCAACTGTGGTTAGATGTCCGGTTGCCTCTTAGCTAGGGATCGAAACCCATGAATGGAATTATGTTTCATTAAATGACAGATGACCAGGAATACATACATATTATATATTTTTATTTAATTTTATATATATATATATAGTTTTCGACTGTGTTTCAACAAGAGCTTACATTGCAATGACCTATTTGATCATGGCTCGAATACATTAGAGCCCATTTAAATATATATATATATATATATATATATATATATTTATATATATAGATAATACATAAAAGGTGAATGGTCGGAGTTGAATGAGACCAGAAACTCCATTAAAAAAATAAAATAAATGAAAAATAACATGTTGAGCTTTTACTTAAAAGTAGAAAAAAAAATACAAATAAAACAAAAGTATATATATATAAAAAAATATATATATATATATATAAAATTATTTTAATGGAAGTTTATACATTATTTTTATAGATACAAATAAAAAGAAAAAGAAATTTTGTAGAAAATATATGTCCAACACAAACCTTAACAATATTAACATGAACAAGGCCACATTTATTCAAAGTATAATTGTACATGTATTTATTATAAATTAAAAACATCTCATATTTAATTCACAATATTTCTTAAAATAAACAACATACATAAATGCCACACAAAAAAAAAAAAAAGGTAACAATTAACTGGGGCTGATCAAAACTGAATCATCACCCTGTATATACAGTGATGTGTAAAAGTAAGTGAACATCCAAGATAATATTTAAAAATAATTGCCTTTTTCCAGATAACAAATCTAATTAAACTAAAGGCCATTATTAAATGAATTACAACTGAAAATTTTCATTCAGAACTATAAAACATTTGGACAGTTTTTTGTTTTAAATGGTTGCTTTGTCCATGTAAAAAAAAAATGACACGTTTCTTTTTTTCGAACAAAATATTATAACTCAAGAAAAATTAAAAAAAAAATATATATCCAAAGATAACTTCCTGAAGTAAACATGTCTGTCATTTTAATGAAAACATGCAAATAAATGAAGGATTGGCTGTCCATAAAAATTACAAATATACATATATATATATATATATATATCTATATATATATATATATATATATATATAAATGTGTGTAAAATATAGAATATAAAATAAAGAAACGTCTATTTAAGAGGACATTTTCAAAACATAATCCAACTTATAAAATTTATTTTTTTAACAGTATTTGCATTTCAGATTTTTTTTTTTCTGTAAAATAGGGCTATATATATATGTATAAGTGCATAGGTATGCATAAATAAAAAGAACACAGTGATACAAAAGTTCCCTAGTATTTTTGTTTTATTTTAAGAAGACAGTTTCCAGACAGAAGTAGAGCTTAAAATATTTTTATTGTTTAAAATTTTTTTTGTTTATGAAGGAATCATATTTTTAAACAAAAATAATAATTATATCTCATATATATATATATATATAGAATATATATATATATATATATATATATATATATATATATATATATATATATATATATATATATATATAAAATATATATATATATATATATATATATATAGGTCATTCAAAAAGTTCCACTTTTTTCTAGACAATCAACAAATCTTAATTAAACTATATATATTCATTAAGAAAAACCTTTATTAAAAGAATTAGTTCAAAGATTTTTATCCAGCTAAAAAATTAATTAAAAAATTAAGAT